AAAATAAATTACTTTTCTATCGCTAATCTAAATAGACCCTATATTTTAAAGAACTTGTAATAATTTTTTAATTTGTGTATCGTACATGACGCACGAAGATGCGGATCAAAGGGATAAATATGTGTGAACAAAGCTTGATGGAAGATTGCACGCTCAATTCACTGGTGTTACCAAAAAAATAAATTGATCCTTAATTTTTACATATATATATTTTAAATGCCAAGCACAAGTGATCAAGGTAGGGGTGATCATTTTCCTTTCTTTCAGATTTTTCTCTCTCTATCTCCTCTCTCTCGTCTTGATGGTGTATGGATCGGACTTGTTTATTTTATTGGTTTTAGGCTGTGTTTGGCATCGCGTTTCATGGCCTAAACGTACGTCTCCACCAGTAAAAGCTACTTTTGAGATTTTGAAGTTGTTTGGATTGACTTCTTTTTGTGATGGGCTTATGGAGTCTAATGAGCTGTTGGGCAGAAGCTACTTTTTTTGGCTTTTGGAGTGATGAGTGGTTGGGGTGAGGGACGGTGGGGTGTGCAGGAGAGAAAAAAAGAAGAAAGAGAAGAGATGATGATACTGGACATGAACAGTTTTTTTTTTTTACATTCACATGTTGTAAAAGTGGAACAATAAATTAAGGATAATTTTTTTAGTCAATACTGAACATAAATTATCGTAAAAGTAAATACTAACGTAAAATTGGGGGGAAAAAATGAAGAACCATGCTATTTTTTCATTTATTTACTTAATGTTTTTTTTTGTAAAAAAAGATATCTTTTTGTTGTGGGCTCCTGGGAGAAGTAAACTTTCGGTGCGTTTTGGGGTGCTGTGGGCGGTGAAAGAAACTGTTGGAAAATTTATGGCTGTGTTAAAATTTTTTACCCACCTGATCGTCACCCTTGCATGAATATTCTCTCACCTCAATAATAAAACAAAATCACAAGTTCACAACACACACACTCCTTCGTTGGAAAATTGTCACATTATATATATAATTCCTTTATAACAATAAATTAAATTTTCTTATTTTTAATAATTTATTTTCAGTACTTTTTTTAAAATGGCCACATTATACATATAATTTTTTTCTAATAATAAATTAAATTTATTTACTTTTAATAATTTTATTTTCCTTCTTAAAAAATAGTCACATTATATATATATATATATATCTAATATTAGATATATACTATTTAATAAAATTCATATCCTTTTAAGTCATTTTACATCCAAACTTACTTTTATATTTATCATCCAAACAAGTTTCAACTTCTCAAACTGACTTTTTTTCAAAATCCAATCCAAACATAAATCACATTACCCTATCTGACTTTTATCCAATCTCACTTCTGTAGAAGTCAGATTGAAAAAAAATGTTACTTCTCCACCGTTAATCCAAACACACCCTTAGTTGAGTTGAAAAGAGAGGAAACCCATTATTCTCAAAACAGGAAAAAAAATATATAAGTGAGTTAGAAGAGCGAGAAAACTCAGTAGTATCATTATTATTTTCAAAACAAAAGAAAATAGAAAAAATTGTGATAAGATCTCATCTAAGAGAATTAATACAAAAAGCTTTTTGAAATCATCAAATTAATCTGAAGTCCTAAGAAACTTTATTGCAAGATTTTCCATTCGTCTAATTGCCAAATTGTCTTTATCTCTTTTCTTTTAAAGTTATATTGACAATTAAAAGTATAATCGTTAATAAGTTAAAGTATAATGATTAACAACTACTGTGACTGATATTAATAATTCATGCGTTATATTTTTGTAATATGCTGAGAAAATATGTTGTTAACACCTGTCACGATAGTTGTTAATCATTGCATTTTAAGTTGTCAATACATACTTTAAAAAAAAAAGATAATTTGGTAACTAAATAAATAAAATCTCTTATAATAAACTTCCTTGGAATTTCAGATTAATTTAATATTCTAAAGAAATTTTTTTTGTATTTAATTCTATTAAATGGCACCCTATTACAATTTTTACAAAAAAAAAAACGCATAAAATCAATGGATGCTCTCTCTCCTCTCTCTCTCTCTCTCTCTCTCTCTGTGTCATCAGCATTAAGTGTGTTGCCTTTCCTTTCAGATCTCTCTCTCTCTCTCTCTCTCTACGTCGTCATCGACAGAGTCTTAAAGAAAGAAATATCATTGCCACAATCTGACTTTGCCTCTCCCGCCGTGTCTAACCCACACACTTCTTGTCATCTCCTTGAAATTTCTAATATATCCCATCCAAAGGGTTTCAGAGATCATCCTCAGACTAAAGCCAAGCTCCACTATGAATTCTGAAAGCATCAATACCCAGAGGGTTCTTACGCCAGCCACTCATAACACTCAGATCGGCTCTAACCCTCCAACAACTGCTCGTGGCACTCAAATGCCAACCACGCAGAAGGCTTTTTCCCCAGCAAATACGCCACATCCTCTCACCACCACTTCTCCTTCAATAACTCCCGCCACTCCAATCCCAACCCCCCGCATGATCTTCTCCAGGAAACCATGATGATCCCACCTCTCATTGAGCCCATAAACTTTCGCAGTTACTCTTTCTTTTTCTCCTAATGTATATACCATGTATACCTATATATCTATAACCTTTTTCATTGAGTTGACTATTGCCCGGCAGTTTTCACCTAGGACGTGATACTGCCATCTCGGCACTCCCTCCCTTTCCCATCCCTCTCCTGATGAGCTTTAACATCATCGGGTAGGAACGTTGAGAATGTTGGGAATGCATTCACAATGCAATAGAAAAAAGATTGAATGCAACAAACCTGTTATCACTTTCACACAAGATTATGTCTCATTATTATATCACCGCGCAGGATCTTTTATAGAATGCTGATAAGCTCGTGCGAATGAATACGTACAGTTGCAGGAGAAGGTGCAAGAGAAGACAGAGTGCAAATGGGAAATGCAGTGGATAAATATAGATGTAAGACAGGGCATGTGAGAAGTTCTGAAGAAGGAAGAAGAAAGTATAGTGGAGAGAGACAAAGGCTGTGGGGGAAGTGGGCAGCTGAAGTCAGAGATCCTTTTAAAGCTGCCCAAGTTTGGCTTGGCACTTTCGACACGGCGGAGGCTGCTGTAGGCATACCACAAACCTACCCGAGTTTGGCTTGGCACTTTTGACACGGCGGAGGCGCTGCCCGGGCATACCACGAAGCTACCCTGCGTTTTGGAGGCAACAAGGCTAAGCTCAGTTTCCCAGAAAATGTCAGATCCGGCAACCTGCGACCACGACGGCGGTGGTTTATTTGAGAGGTTCGGGTTCTGCAAGTACCCTTTTGTCCATTTCGACGTCCACTGAGGTGATTGTTCATGCCAAATCCCTTCACCACCATCCTTCCTGCGTTCTTGGCCGGCGACGTCTAGTGATTTTCATAGACACTCAGCTTTCAGAGCTTCTCATGAATTTTTACAATCAGACATGGTTAAGACACATCTTTTCTATTTTATTATATATAATAATTCAAAAACTCTCAAGAGAGTGGATTCCCAAAAAGCCCAACGATATACTCCTTCCGATTTAAAATATAAACTAAATTTTATTAGAGGAATTTGAGTCTTTTTATCAGATAACATTTATTTCTATCTGTGTAATTAATGAGGTTTTTTTTTTAAATTTTAACCCCCATATTTTTTTCCTTTTTGATTCATTTTAATTCACAATGAAATATATGTGTAAATAATGGTAATTTTGTCTTTTGATATGTTATTTTTATTTATTCCCATCTTGTTTGTAATTCAGCCAAATATTTTTATGTCTATGTATCATCTTTCGTTAATGGTATACCAAACAAACTTATGTAAATATCATTACATTACATTCCATTATATTGTATTACATTGCATTACGTTCCCTCAGATTTAGTAAACCAAACGGGTTATTATTCTCTTCACTAATAAAGGCATATTTAGGAGGGGAAAATACATAGATTACATATTTATTGTTTTAAACTGAATTTAACTTATTTTTTGATAATAATAAATGAATAAATTTTATCTTATATTTTAAACAGGAGGGAGTGGGTTCTTAGAATTCGGGATTGTTTTGTACGTTAAGTACTGCTTAGCTTTTAATATATCCTTTTAATGAAACTGTGAAATTGTGAAATTGTTTGATCTATGGCAAGACATATCGTGGATTTAATATTTGAAGATCTAATGGAATAGTAATTATATATAGATCCCCGCACTTATTTTTTTTGTTACAAATTAAGCCAGCGTACACATAGATATGTAACAATTTTCTTTTGCAAACTAAGAGAACCGCGTTTCACAAAATACTTATTGACCACACCACTTATTGATAAAATCGTAACTAAATTATATGTTAATCACCAGGGTTATGAAAAACCATGGTTAGTTCAACGGCAATTTTGTTAACCATTGATTAAGGCACATATGGTTCGGCCAACCACGTGCGTCTAAATTAATCTTTCCCAAATCACGGGTTAGTCACAATTTTATACCCATATTTATATCATAATTAATTCAGGCCACAACTACACACACACAAACACGCACAAAATAATCGCAGTTAAATTATGAGCGAGCCACTCATACGCATATTTAAAACCATAATTTTTTATCAGGTATAATTTTATGATATGCGCATGAAATATGCATATACAATATAAAACGATCTACGCTTAATATTTTATATATAAGTAGCTCAAGGATATTAATCATCTATAATAACAAACGGTTGGCTTTGAGTAGGTTTTTCTGTGTTATTTTCCAAACGGAAAAACTAATAATAAAAAAGTTTCAAAATAAATTACACCTATCATGAAGTATGATATTGCAGTCACACCATGCTTTGTAGGGTCTATATTTAACGCTGAGGCATAAATTATTTTTATATTACTTTAACACATTTTGTGAGTTTTTTTTTTACCTTATAGTACAGCAGAATAATTCAATCGTTAGTCAAGTTCAAGATTGGGGAAAGCATCAATGAAATATATATGTTAACATAGAATTGCATTTTCCTTCAACTTGGCCGTAAGCACATCCTATTATATTGCAATAAAATATAATACATTTTGACCAAACTAAACATACTCTGTTCATACACAAAATTACAGAGTCTAGTACAGTATATGATTATTTGGTCGGAAAAGAGACCTGCAGAAGTATTTGGTATAGGGTATATCTAAGCAAAGAGGGAATTGCAGGAACAAAAACAAAGGTATTGGTACAAATGCAAGCACTGAAATGAGCCAGGGGACCCACTTTATTAGACCATGATAATATGTTACAAAGAAGGCACTGCTAAAAGCTACCGTCATGCAGATAACGGAGATGAACAGTGCTACTAGCCCAGATATTAACTTCGATGGCAGTGGCTTGAGAAAATCTTGTTCTGCATAACGTGAGATGAGAATGGACAAGAAGATTAGGATGGAGGTTGAGGATGAAATAAGTCCAGATGCATCTGACACAGCAAATATCTGAAATGGTAGCTTCTCCAAATAGTTAGGATCTCCTGTGTCATTGTTTTTAGCACCAGGAATGGTGAATGCAGCAGAAAATACTCCTGTAGCAATTAGTGTTAAAACAAACATGCAAGACTTTGCAGTTCCCTTCATCCAAGACTCTGCTTCTTTTAGCAGTTCTTTGTGTTCTTTGGTGAATAATTCTCTAGGAGTTAGGCCGTCAGAGTTCCTCATCTCCATGAATGATGGTCGCATTATCTTCTTCACTTCCTACCACATTAAAACATGAATTTGTTACGAAAATAACAGCCTCTTAGCTTCATGAAATCATACATACACAAACCACAAGGGGAGGATCAAACCATAATAGCTCAACCATCATCTGAAAAGCTGCTCCTGAAAACAAGTCAAGTCGGGTTTGCGGTGCTAATTTTGCAGCAAAATGCAATAAATTGCATTTGTCAGTGCTATCCACAGAAGAAACTATGGAGTTCATGTCTGGGCCTGTTTCAAGTATGAGGTTGAAGATACTAGCATGGCGATGCAAAACAGCAATGTGTATTATACTTCGGTTTCTGCCATCCTTTTCCGTCATCAAATCAGGGTAGGTGCTCAAAAGCTCTACTAGAAGCTCAAAATTTCCAACTTCAGCAGTATTGAATATTACTTGTGAAGGTTCTCTTATGAGTCTCGTCATGCTTGACTCATCTAGAAGAAGAATTTCATTCCAAATATTCCTGACAAGCTCAATAGCCAGATCCTGCTTCGCACCTGGAGCAGTCTAATTACGTAATAAAGAAGACAATGAAAAAAAGAAGATCTTTTTCAAAAAACCAATTCTTCAAATGATAACATATTTATAGCATTTGCAATATTGCTGTGTTTTCAACCCAGCAGTTCAGAGTTTAATCCTTCCCACCTCGTAGCATAAAAGTGTGGCGTAACTGTATTGACACTCAATCCTAAAGTGCATTCAAAATGAAGGATAAATTAGATATTGCACTATAGCTATAGATGACCTTACAGAAAAACTGCCACATTGCAGCTTGATGTTTTTGAGTTGAGTTTGTCCTTGGAAATCTATTCCTAGTCTTACCCTTGGATGAATACATTTATTTATGGGTCAAGCATCCTTGCTTTGTATTTTCCTTGCATCAATAGTTATGTGTAGGATGATTGGAGTACTTTGTGTTTTAATATTAGATTCAGCCTATGCTGGCCATCATGAAAATAAGAATAAGCAAGAACAGAACTGTTTTCTTCTTGAGAATCTTTGAAGCAGGAAGTGATGGTAACAGGAATATTAAGTATTTCTTCTTCTGCTCATTAAGTAACATAAATGGACCAAATAATTAAATAGTTTAGTTTTCCTGATAGTGTTGATTGTAGTCACTTACTGGACTTCATGATCTGTTTTTGATGTGCGGGACTCTGGCAACCAGAACTTGAAGGCTTTCGAGCTAACACATGTAAAGCTGTACCATTGTCTCCATCATGAGCTAAAGCTAGCTCTGGCCTCTCTTGCAGCAGTAACAAGGCTAAATCTGCAAAATGTTCCAATAATGATTGAGTTGCAAATTCTAATGCATACATAATTTTGGTGCCTATCTGTATACGCTTCAACTTCCTTGGTTACAATTCGTACAATGCTTTAGATATGTGTACCTAAGTGAGGTGCTTATGGTTCACACATTACATCAAGTGCAATCATACATATGAGTAAGAAGCACGCAATTTTGAGAAAAGGTGAAAATGATGTATTGAAACAGTCAATTATTTGCACTTTGATCAGTCATTATCAGGCCAAAAAAGATCAGTCATCAATTGCAGGATAGTACACCTTGTATATTGAACTTTACCAACTGACTTGAGAAAAATGAGGGCCAGTGTGTGAGCTTCATGTTTCTAGAGAAATCATATTCTAGCCCTCCAATGCTTGTAGTAAACATGACTTGACTAGTCTCTCCAAGTTTACTGTGAAAGTTAGCTTGTCATACCATTTAGCACAAGCATGAGCAAAGACTAGTGTAAGGAGTTTATAGAATAATGAAAAGAGATGTTTACTTCAAGCTTAGTTGCTGTGATCTCTTTTTTCCCCATGATCTTCTGATCAGGAGCAAATAACAATAATATATTCATCAACTTTTAGGCTTCGTTTATTTAATGAGCCCTTTTTGTCAAAACAGTAGTTGTTAGAGAAGAAACGTCTGGCATTAAAGGGCTCCAAGAATTAATCAGAATATGCGTGCCTCTGTTTCACCAAAAAAACGATCTCACCTGCCCCACAGCCACATCATTGCAATAACTATATATGGTTTGAAAAAACACGACATCCTTTAACACTAATAACTTTTGCTTTACAAGACATACATCATTATATAATTTACTTCTGTTCTGGTGCTTTTTTTTTCTTGTAGGTGTGCTTCGGCTCTTTTGAGATAATCAATCCCTCCCCTTTAGTTTCGCTGATTCATGCTCTTTCATCTCTTGTTCCGTTCCCTTCTCTTCCCAACAACAAAAGATACTTCACCTCAGCTTCGCTTGTCTTTTTCTCTCATCTCAGCCATGAACATACATCATTATATGATTTACTTTTCTCAAATATGCGCAGCTTTAACACTTGTGAGTTTTGCTCACTGAACCATAATTATTACACACGTCATTTTGGCATAATCCAATTCAACATGAACACCACCTACACCTTCCCGCTCTTTATCTGTATATCCAACTTCTTTTTCTTCATCTGTAATTATTTCTGAGTACTTTTTAATTTTTGGGATATATATGAGGGTGAAGGGGAGAAGGAGACAAAGAAGGCTATAAGTGGCCAACAGAAAAAGCAGCATATATAACACTTGTTTTGTGTCTAGGTTTGATTTAATTTGTTGTGCTTGCTGCTTGCTCTAAATCTTGTAGATAATGATTGCTCAGGACTTGTCACCATGCCTCCAAATTCCATCTATCTTTATGTATCGCCTTTTCAAATATTGTCTAGCTTTAACTTTTTAATAATGCCATCATGACCTTTTTGTTTTTTCCAGCAAAATGTTGAAATAGATAAATTAATGTTTGTTTCCCCTTGGGGATATATGTTTATTAGTCAAGCTGATCAAGTTTTGTTAGTTTCAGTTGATGACCTTTCTGGTATGTTAAAGCAGCCAAAATTAAATTTTTCCTGTATATAAACAACTAAATGGCACTTAAAATAAATCAGATTACTAAATAAATAAAGATATCAGAAAAGGCAACTCAAAATTAGCCCCAATCATTTTTTGAATATGAAACAAAAGAGCCCATATGACATAAACCCAACAGATCAATAAAGAGGCAAAATTAAAACGGAAGAAAGAAATCAGTTTTGTTAAAATATGAACAAAAATTAATGAGTCCAACTGAAAATGTCGTTTAATGGGTTGCCGCAGGCACTAAACCAGAAATGTTAGAAAAATAAATTTGATTTTTAATATAAGAATTAGATAATAAATTTATAAATATTAAAAAATTAATTAAATTAGTTATTAGTAATAAAATGATCTTGTCTTCCTTAAAATATCCCTATTAATCATGTACATTGAAACTATTTTTTATTGGAGACTCCTTAACACGTGCAAGCATCACAGGAATTACTTGGAAGTAAAATGAATAAATATTAGAGGCAAAATTAATTAAGATCTTATATTTAAAACTAAATTAAATCTCCAACTAGCTCTTATATTAAGCATTAAGATAATATTAATTACCTAATTTGTTTTTCAAATTAACCTCCTAAGTTCAAAGTGGTAGACAGTAGCAATTGACACGTAGACTTCCTCAACAATCACTTGCTTATTAATTAACTCATTATACATACTCATTTCCTTTAATTTTCCAACACTTTTCATCGACGAACATGGACACCTAGCTTGACTCGCCATATATGCATATAAATACAGGTATCTGATTCATAGGTTTCACAGCAGACCGTAGCTATCTATTCATCAAATTATAAGCAATCTTTTGAAGAAGAAGAAGCTTAGCTTTGTGAAGGAAGGAGCAGTATGAGCTCTCAACCACAGGGCTCCAATAATATAAGAAATGGCACATCAGTTCCTGATAATCAGGGTATCTTTAGCCCAAATTATGAAAATCAGGGAAACCCTACAGCATCTGGCACTCAGACCCAGGGCTCCAATATAAGTGATGGCACTTCAATCCCTAATGGTCAAGATGTCAGGTCCCCCACTGGTCGAACACCATGACCCTCTTCATTTTATTTTCAGGTTCATATACATTTATTCCTTTCTTTATTCATATAAATCACTCTTTCCATTAGGAAAAACTGATGAGTTATGCGTTAATTTAACTTTTTTTTATCAAATTCTTGGTTTCAAATTCAAGACCTCCAAATCAAATCTTCATGATGAGCTTGCGATGAAGGCTGAATTTGATTCTTATTATTAGGTTCTTAATTTAATTTGAACATGACATATGAAGATGAACAGGTCCTTGACACACACACAGTTTGCGTTGCAATAAATGAATTAACTTTCACATATTTGCTATATTATTAAAGAATTTTGTAGTATTTTAAGTGCCTATACAAACAGCTTTTTCAGATTCTCATCCTTCTTGTAATTAACCTTACTCCAAAGTGCAAAGAGATCATAATTAAATCTTGTTTATATCTGCTTATCTTAAATACTTATAAATATTTTTATGTAAATCGAGATAAAACTTTCCTCGTATACATAGTTATTACCTTTTATTTTGTAAATTAGCCATGTCTTGTAACAATGTTGTTATTCATCATTTTTGTATTAATGTCTGCCCTCAATCTCATTCTGGTTTTTATTTTCATGCAGATGATCATCAAGTGCCGGTCTTGATAAAAGAATAAAGGAAGCAAAATATTATAGCGCAGTTCTATCATAATTATATAGCTAGCAAGAATAAGAATACTATGAAAAATATTATTCAACTATTCTTTTTGGTTTTGTTTTGCGTCTAGAAATGATTTGTTGTTCTTGTTGCTTCCCAGAAATAATATACAAAGTCAAGTGTCTGAGTAGTTTCACCTTCGAGGATGTCTTCACTCTTGACATGTACTCTTAGAAGCAATTAACCATTGTTATTATATTATTAAAATTAATGAATGTGTTGCGTAATTTTGTCACATCCCAAAAATTTTTACCTAGCTATAAAGGATTCAAAATTAGGACAAGAGTCAATGTAAGAACTAGATGGGGAGATGAAACAACTTTTGATGTGAAATCCCGATAAGGTCCGGGCTAGCATTTTTGTAATTATCAGTCTAGGAAGGACAAAACGGAAAAATTTGAAAAAAATTCTAGAAAATCCCCAAAAAATAGAAAAAGTGTAGAGTAGAGGTTTTGAAAATTCGGTTGAGGCGCGAAAGATGGAATTTCGGTGAAAATTATTTATTACGGAATTTCCCATAAACAAAAGTTTTTCGGGAAAATATTAGAAAATCAAAGAAAATAGTTATTTTAATTAGTTAGAGGCCTCAATAAATTTGGGATATTTATGAAAAATTAATAAAAATATTTATTTGAATTTATAAAATTAGTTTTAGGATTTTTAAGTTCATAAATTAATTTTAGAAAATTAATTTTCCCTCAGAACTAACGATAGAAGTCTAATCGGAGAAAATTCAAAATAAATACCTAGAGGTGGCAAAAAATTCTGAAAATTTTCAGATCATGCTCCCATATTAAAATGTAAATTATCACAAAGAGAGATAAATTTTTAGAGGTCTGAGAAAAATTATGAAAGGTTACTAGTGAATAGTAACCGATAAAATTTTAAATTGGTTTGAGATAGTGATTTGGTTTGTGGGCCATCTTTTTGGACCAGCCCAAAAAATTTGTGAGGCCCACATTGAGCCCAATTTTGTGCAGAATCTGGAGGCTTCAACTAATTAAAGGAAAATGCAAAAATTAGGGGATAATTGTATGGAGAAATCTAGATTATGGCCACATGGAGTGATCTGAATATTTTGGATACTTGATGGCTGCCACCTACACCCTTGAGGTGTCCCAAATTTTGGCCAATTGAGGGGAAAAATATCAGACCAATTTTTCTATAAATACCCGTAGAAAATATCAAGAAAATGTTGGAAAATTAGGAAAAATAAGAAGAGACCCTGTCACTGTTTATCTAGCCCCTTTGTTCAAACTTTTTGAGGTGTTTTAGGAAAGAAATCATCCAACACACACCAAGAAAACATTAAGGTATGTCTAAGCATCATTATCCCTAAGTATTATATTGATTGGATTAGGATTTTTGCTTGGAAAAATACTGAAAAATTCGGTTGGGATGTGTGATGCTTAAGAAAGAATAGAAACCTTAATAATCAAGTGGAATAAGGAAGATTAAATGGTGTATGAATTGATTTTTGGAAGAAAACCAAGTTAGGGTTTTGGTTCTTCATTTTGGCTAGCATTGTTCATAGGGAAGGAGTTTGTTTTCCATTGATTTGATGATTCCAATAGTT